GGAAAATATTTGGCTCGAGGTTATGCCGTACGGACCGAGCGCAGCGAATATAATTAATAATATATATATAATCATAATATAAATATAAATATAATCATCAAAGTGTAATCATTGTACAGGTCAAACAATGAACAATTTGGTCATTGCTTAAGATTCAATAATAGAGTCTAATATTATCAGCATTGGTTTAAGTGTTCACAGGCTACTCCAATGGAAATGGACATTGATTTGTGACATTGTGTATCTCTATATCACATGAACCTTATAATTTTACTAAATGATTATAGTATTGTAGTCATGTTGCTGTTGTACATACCTGTCCTTGATTAGCCATAAAGAATGATAGCAATGGATCCATTGATGTATTACCAATAAAGTACCTATCCTTCAAAGAGTAYTTCTGACATAAGTGACGTTGTCCTTTACCAATCTGTGTACATTGAGATTTGAATTCAATTAATTCACTTATTGATTAATTTTTGATCATTTGATTGTTGAACTGAGTTTCTGACTGACAAAATAGCTAAAAGATAAATTTGTTGATTTTCTGAACTGATTTCTTGATTGATTCACAGCTTCAATGATTGACAGGTGTCAGTTCAAAAATAACAGAACATAGGATCTGTGCGCAGTGTTCCTTGACACCTCAGTTCAATGCTTTGTTCATGGTCACTGGACCACGAGTATGGAATTAGTCGTTTATTGATCAATGACTCTACTGGAAAATAAAATCCACAAATATCATATTCTTGCTGAGCAGTTCATTYTTGGACTGAAARCAGTTCACTTACCAAACGTCCAAAATAATATCTACAAGGCGTTTCAGCTGCTACATTTGTATCTTGCCCAAAGTCCAGGACAAGAGAAAACTGATTTTCTGGATTATCCAAAGCAACTCTTCCTTTAAATGGTAAAAATGAAAGGGCCTGTGKATCCAGATAATAAACATAAAATAAGAATGAATAAAACTTATAATAAATTAACCCAACTATTCTAGACTGCATAATTCACTAACCTCATAATAATGCTCCCTCTGTGATTGAGGTATCTTTTTGTTATAAGTTTCTACATTGATTCTGAATGTTGCTTCTTTGCTGCAATAGGGTTGCTTTGGAAGACAAATACAAAAAAAATCAGTTTTTTATCGTTCTTTGTTTGTCCATCTTTATTGATTAGACATATGAAATGAGCTTTAGCGGCCATATCAAATTGAAACATTCATAAATGTTTTAATAGTGATGATATCATAACAATCTATAATTATTTGAATGTTGATATTTTTGCAAAAGTGAGCAGTAACTATGT